AGCTGAGGGGAGTGCTGTTTCCATGGCAACACAGAGGCTAGCGGGGAGGAGGCTGGTGCCTTTTTCCCGTTCTGAGAGTTTACATATCCAAACACGATTATTCCTAGCAAGAATCTCTTTAAAGAAAAAAAAAAAAAAGGGAGGTTTTAGGGGAGAAGGAAATAATGTTAGTGAAAATTGTCGGTGAACATCCAGATGTTTCTTGTGGTGGGTTTTTTCTTCTGTGGTTGTGCAGATTGGGTAGTGCAAGGCACAGCTTTTCACTAATGCTGGGAAAAAATGTTCTAACTATAGCAGCAGTGATCTTGGACATGGTAAATGTGGGGTGTTCTCACGTTTGTGGTGCTGCAATGCTGTTGAACAAAACCTTGCTTTACCCTTTTAATGAAAGCTGCCTTCCTTTGGGAGGCTGTATTATTAAATACAGTTGACTTTTCACTGGGAGCAAGTTCTGAATAAGCAAAGGGTAAATAGTCACCATTCCAGGGATTAGAGCTTTGCATTTTTTTTTTTTAATGGCAGGTTTTAGAGAAGGTAATATGCTAAATTGGTCTTTTATTACTGTCGTGGAGCTATGTCTCAGCCTCGCCCATTTTATTTACTATAAGAACCATAGGCTGATAGATTTCCCATACTCAAACTTACAGATAAATCCTTCTTCCCTAAGTGGATTGAGAAACTATTATGTTCTGCTGTTGTAATATGCCAGGGTGGCTTTTTTTTTTTTGAAGATGGAATATTTTGTATTGAGACTTTCATTTAGTCATTAGAGATGAATTTCTTTCTGGATTTAAAACCACACAAACCTGAAATAACAGGAAGGAGGAGTGCAAACCCCGGAGTATTATCTGCCTGTCTGGTTTTTTTTTTTAATTTTTTTTTTTTTAAATGAAGAATTGGAATAGTAGCAAATACAGTGTGTGGGAATGAATTTATTTGCATGGAGAATTTTCACCTTTTCCTGTGGCGGTGGCTCCCAGAAGATGATGTCACCTTGCAGCTCATTGGTTGTGCGGCACCCAGTGCAGGGAAGGGAGAGAAAGATGCCGGCACAAATCTCAGTGGTGGATCTAGGGTGTTTGCGAGCAGTTTTTGATAGAATCTTTGATTAGTGTTGAGAATTTACTGCATGTGGCCATGTGAGGTGCTGGGTCTGTCCTAGGGTGAGGGGATTGAAGAGCTATCAGAGGAATGAGGCGGCTGATCTGCAAGAGGATCTGTGATTGTAAGTTGAAAAATCTGGGTGGAAGGACGGAGACAGGGAGTGCTGGTTAGACGCACTGTGGGAGGATGTGTAGCAGAAAATGCATGCATGAGTAAGAGAAGAAAAAGGAGAAGCGTTTGTCTTTAATAGACTGGAATGACAGAAATTATATGAAGTGCTTTCCTTTGGGGAAAATATTCAGAAACGGGCAAAGATATTAAGTCCCAGCAAAGATATTTTCCCTTTGTGAGAGTGAATATGTAGGATTAATTTTTTTCTTTGGCTTTACAGTGGATAATTATGAAGGCAAAATAATATACGAGCACAATGTAGAAAATGCTGTTTATTTCTTAGTGTCATTTTATTCCTAGGTCAGACAGAGAGGACAAAGTGATAAATATTTGGTTTTCTTTATACAATTTGTGAATTTCTATGAAATATGAAGCAGAATAGTTGACTAGGAAATAAATATACATCCATTCTAATAGTTGTATTTTTACTGATTGTATCCTTTTCTAGACAAAAGCTTTGATGATGAAGAGTCAGTGGATGGAAATAGGCCATCATCAGCTGCTTCAGCCTTCAAGGTTCCAGCACCTAAAAAGCCAGGAAATCCTTCAAACAGTGCAAGAAAGCCAGGATCTGCTGGTGGGCCTAAGGTTGGAGGTAATGTAAAGCTATTTCTAATCGCTGTTCCCAGAAACCTTGCCAAAGCAGGCACAAAACAGAGAACTTTGAAGGGTGATGTTTAATTCATGACTGCAGTATTTTTGCAGAGCTGAAAACAGTAAGGGACCCTGGTTTATGTAATTACTCATGTGTAAAGGTGTGTGTATGACTGCTTTTGTGAATATACACTTAGCTTATAAAGGCCTCTTGTGTTATAAATAAAATTAGCATCTGGAGATAGCAGTTGTTAGTAAAATGAATATATGAGTGCCTCTTTGATGGAATCCACATATCACTTACTGTGTATGTAAATATACTGTGAAATTCTGTAGTTAGTTCTGTGTAGGTGCAGTCTACTTTATGTCTGCACTGTTTCACATGGCTGGAAAGGACTAGCCATCAACCATATACCTCAACAGAGGTTTATATTAGACCTGAATGACTTTTATTATTACTCCTTAAACTGACAGGATGTGGTGAAATTGGTTGTGAAAGATAAAAAATGGGGGCCAAACCCTTGCCAGGATTTTTTTTGCATGGTAGACTTCAAAGCAGGATAACGATGATGCTTACTAATTATAACTTTGAACATGGAAATCCGCATTTTTTTAGGGCGGGGATAATCTGAGAAAAGCAACAAGTGACAGCTTTTTTTGTGGTTCATGTGCACATTCAGAAAAATATAGAATTAAGTGGTAATATACCACACTTCAGGTGTGACTTTTTTAGGAATAATTTATTCTTTCAGCATGAGATTTTTGTAAGAGTGAGTATTTTTTTCGTATTACTATTGATGTATCATTCCCTTATGTGAGCTGCAAAGCAAATATAAAATTTGAAAGAAGATACACATGCCAGACAAGCTGCCTTAAGTATTTTAATGTTAATAAGATATAGCTAATGTTTTGACAATTTATTATTTTTCTGACATGATCTTCAGTATTCCTAATAAATTGATTTAAGATTCCCATAGGGCAGGATAAACAGTGTCATAGAATCATAGAATGCCAAGCTCTAAGGGACCTCAAGGATCATCTGGTCAAACCTGGTCAAGCTGAGACTTAAAACTGTCCGGTGTGGGAGAATCTACCGCTTCCCTTAGGAGACTATTCCAATGTTTGACTGTTCTCATAATGAAACATTTATCTCTTATGTCCAATTTGAATCTCCCCAGGAGCAACTTGTGCCCATTACCCCTTGTCTTTTCCATGTGACTCCTTGTAAACAGGGAGTCTCCACCTTCCTGGCAGCCACCCTTTAAGTACTGGAACATGATAATGAGGTCTCCCCAAAGCCCTCTTTTCTCAAGGCTGAACAAACCCAGTTTTCTCAGCTTCTCCTCATATGGCACATTCTCCAGTCCTCTAATCATCCTTGTGGCCCTTCTCTGGACCCTCTCCAGCCTGTCCCATCCTTTTTGTAGAGCAGGGACAAGAACTGAACCCAGTACTCCAGGTGTAGTCTGACAAGCACTGAGCAGAGTGGGATGATGACTTCTTTATCTCTGCTGTTGATGCCCTGTTGGTGCAGCCCAGCATCCTGTTGGCTCTCTGCTGCTGTAGCACACTGTTTACTCATGTTGAGCCTGTTATCCACCAAGACCCCCAGGTCCCTTTCCACAGGGCTGCTCTCCAGCCATGTGGATCCCAGTCTGAACTGTGCTCCTGGGTTGCATGTTCCTAGGTACACCCAGGTGCTCAAAGTTGATAGCAATATGAATCAGAAGGTCCCACCTAAAAGACTTCCTAGGAAGTTACCTCTTGAAATTCACTCTTAGAATTTATAATAATTACATAAATTATAATAGTATCATCTCCTTTAACCTAAGTGTGGGGCTTTTTTCCATGCAAGACTAATATATATAGTACCAGAAATGAATACTCAGGATTGCCATTTCTTTCAGTATGTTCTTCTTTTAGTAATATTTTATAGAATTTAAATGTTTTTAATGTTTTGGTGTTGTTTTTTTTTACATGTAGACTTCCACTTTACATTGTCTGGAATAAAAACATGGGGATAGGAAAGGAGGGGGAGGGAATTAAGAATGGAATAACCACTCTGATTATTTTTTTCAATAAGGAGTAAATAGGATTAGAAAAACAAATTATTACATTGTTTTTCCTATGTTGCCAAACCTAACAAAAAATAAATGCATGAAATAAGGACAAAATTGAAGCATACCAAACCCAGAGAACTTTGGTCGTTCCTAGCTCTATATAGTCTCCTTTCAAATCTGAAAAATACTGAGGAATTTTCACATGTGCATCTGTTTCTCTTCTTGTTTTATATTCTGTTAGTATGTCTGTAGCTAGAATTTTGAAAATTTAGGATTAGACATTTGCCTGGTCTTTATAGTGTTGTTTAAATTGTTCTTTGAATGCTTGTCTGTATGTTCATCTAGGGCGTGGTTGTGCAGACTGCTCAGGTTCTTGACCATGGAGAATTTTTTCCTTAACATTTTGCAGAAAAGATGTTATGCCTTGTATTTGTCTTCCAGTTCTTGTTTACCTCTTGTTTTTCTCTTGCTGTCTACCAGGGGGAAATCTTTACAAGTGTGTTAATTCTTGTGCACAGATTTATTTGTTACATACAGTTGTATGCTTCCTAATTTAATTCTTCTTTGGTGGCTTTTTCCCTTCAAGTTTTCCTTGAGTTGACCCTCAATCTTTTTTTTTTTAGCATTTTCTATACCATTGATCAGCAAGGCTATTATTGTGGTTTTCATGTTTAGCAGCTAGTATTTGGCTTCAGTTTACTCCAGCTGCCTATTACTTGTATTTTCCAGTGCTTTTCTTCATCTCCATGCTATTTCTTGAGGTTACCAGTGTTTAAATTAGTTGAGTTTAGTAACAAGCTTACTAGCAGGTAGAAATGTTAGATGTCTGCACTATCTGGAGAGCCTTGGCATTCTATACAGTATTTTCAAATCCTTCATCTCCTAGCTTAATAAAGAACATTAGTGTAGATGTCAAATGTATTTCTTAAACAAGTCAATCAAGTCATGGTCTCTTCCCGAAGTGAGGAGTTTCCCATAACATTATTCATGTGAACAATACTAGGTCGGATAAGAGGTCTGTATAGTTCAGTGTCCCCTCTGACAGTAGTCAGAAATGGCTACTAGGGAAGTGTATGTGAACAGGGCAAGTGTCTAGAAGCACATGGTCATTACAGGACAAAATGCTGGCTTTAGAGAGCTTTATTCCACAGAGAACTGTAGCATTGGGGCATCCCACTAGGGCATCCTATTATGCTTGTCTTGAGACTTAATGGATCTTTATAGCTAGAAGAAAACCTTTATGCCCTTTCATATCTACTTTGTGTAGGGTCTGTTTTGCAGGTGCCTAAAAAACATCTGAGATTTTTCTTCAGCCTCAACATTGCCATATTTATGAAGAACATCTATGGTTCTGAAGTTGTCTGCTCGTGCTATTTATTAAGATTGCTTTATCCTGGATTCCAAGATCCTTCTGCTCACAACTGTATTCCAAGCCTGTAATCAGTGGGTATGCTGTAATTTCTCATCTTTCCCTCATAAGCACTGGTTTACAGGTATTTCAGGCTTATAACTGCTCACTTTCTGGTTCTACCACCTGTTGGTCCTAGTTGCCCAAGTTTCTCTGGCTCTTTCATATCTATGTACATATACACTAAGAAGCTGCATTTCAGCCTTGGAAAAAGAATAGCAGCTCTATTTAACTCCTGCTTTTTCTTTTTTTCACAAAAATCTCCAAAGCCATGTCAGTGATCCACAGAAGCAATCCTTCACTGCAGTCTCTTTTCAGGCTTCTGTGACCAGGCAAAACTGCCAGTACAGGTAGAAATTGTGTTGAGTGTAGGCTGAGATTGCTGCAAGTTTATTAATGCATTTAAACTGCCTTTTCCATTTCAGAGATTCTTTTCCTAGGATATTGTTTTAGAAATTTGTCTTTTCCTGTCAGTTGTAGATGACAGTAAAGAAAGTACAGCTTCTTCCTGGCTCCAAAAGGGTATGGAGGCTATCCTGTCTTGAGGCTAAGAAAATCAAACCTCTTAGCCATGCTGCTTGCTTTCTTTTATGCTGGTATCTGCTGAATTATACCCAAGATGCATATGTGCTTGGCTTGTTATGTATGCCATGGAGATGTTTCTTGGAGAAGTGGATAATTCTGCTCAAGTAAAAGAACTCATCCGCTACGCAAAAAGAGATTTCTTTCACTGGGTTGGGCACTTCCCATTTAATATAGGAATTTCCCTTTGGCACTGGAAATGCAATTATTGTCCAGGATGATGGTAAAGAACAGGTATGTACATTAGCCACAGCAGTGTCTTACTTGGGGTGGATTTTCTATCGTCTTGTGCTGGGAATGACTGCAGAAGATACTTTTCTGTCAGTTGTAGGGATCTTGTAGGACTTGTGCATTTGCTGACAGGTGGCATTAGGTCTGTAGGTGACAGCTTGCCAGAGAAGTATTGGAGCAGGCAGCCTTAGTGGGGTACTGCCCTGAGAGTAAGAAATCCAGGCCGTCTGTTTCTCGTCTGACTTTATTGCTGGGAGGTGTTCAGACACTGACCTTGCTTGTGATGAATGAGAAGTGACAGGTCTTCAACATAATGGGGCAGTGCTTTGTTTGGCATATTTCTTATTCCATGGTCAATACACTTTCCAGGGTTAGTCTTCTGCCAGGAAATGCACAGCTAATATGCCTCCTTCTGACACACTTGCTTTCAGCTCTTCATTCAAGTGGCAGAACCTCTGGAAATACCCCTTTGCTCCAAAGCCTTTATACTGATAATGTGCATAGTGTGTGTTCTGCCCTTCCAGAATTAGATACTCAAAGGCTTTTTCTTGGCATTATGGCAGGCAGCTTTTTGATTTTAAGGAACACCATAATGTACAGTAGAAAAATATTTAAGCTGAGTGTGTTAGCCAAAGGAACTATATTCTTGTCCCTGTGCTGTTCAAGATCTCATAGAGGGCATTGGCAGGTTCTCTTCCAAGTGTGAGCTCCCTGTTCCAA